TTGTGATTGCTTAAATGAAAATTTGATTGTTTTTTCTAATAATAGATAAGCTACCAATCGCTGAACTTCTACACTAATATTAATTGGAACTAATAATTAAAAATTACCAAACCAGTCGCCTGCACACTTATAGTTATTCAAACGACCTTCTAAATTTGTTAACCATGTTACCATCCAATGGATACCTTTCTTTGTCGGAACAGAGTCTAGTACCATTTGTTGAATTTTTTTTGACCAGGAAATTAAGAGATTATCTACACTATCATAATATAGTAAGTATTCAATTAAATGGACTCTTTCAAGCTGTAATCGATTTATAGCTCTATTTTCTACTCTAATTTTTTTATTGTTAGAAGATAAAGAAAGCTATACCCATCCCATTACTAGATCATCATCGAGAATCTCTTTAAATTTGACTGCTCAAAATAGAAAGTGCCTCAATTCGAGTTTTGTAGTGAATAGATTTTTCTTGATACTGGTTTTCTGATCATAATGCTGCTCGGTAATCTCTGTAAAAATTAAACCTTAAATTAATATCCTTTATAAAATTAATATATCTTTTCATTTGATGTTTTCATATAATTGTTATCTCAGGGTTATAAAAAATAAAAAAAATTTAATATACAATGTTAATTTACCTTCATTTTAAATTAGTAAATGTGCAACTCAAGCTATCAGCAGAACCGCATTGTAACCATTAATTTATTCATAGCATATCTGTAGAATTGAACTGTCTGTGTGGAGGAATCACCGCTCATCTCTTTAATTGTTCTAAATAAACCTTCAAGCATATCTTGAGAGATTCTTCTTGGTTGAATTACTAAACCCGGGCAGTTATTAAGAACATATTCGATAATTCCAAAAAAACCATTAACTGACAAAACCAGATCAAACTGGCATTGAGCAGAAAACCATTGGCTTGGATTTTGTTTTTTTTTATTACCCTGAATAAACCACTGCTTTATTTCTTTTAGAGTATTTAGCCATGGGTCCTTGAGAGAGGATATGTATATCCGACTATGTGTGATATCTCGATACATTCTTGCGTAATTAATAAATAACTAAAAAATTTATAAAACAATTAATAATACTAGTTAATTCTAGTCAAAATTACAAAATTCAATATATCAAATTTCTTAATTTTGACTTGTATAAGATGTTAATATATAAGCACAATATTAAATACAACCTGGGTGCCTTGAGAAATATTCATTAATTCTGGAATTTCT